CACATTCAAGTCACTATTCCGGTGAGTTATTATTGTTGGTAAAGTTGATCTACGAGGAATTGAATCTCATAAGTTAACAGGCACATTTAACCATTTCACTTTGTAAATAGTCTAACGATGATTCAGTTCAGTATTCGTGTTAAATTTCACCAGGGCTTCCGCGGGTGGCTGTCTCGCGCTCAAAACAAAGAAAAGTCGGCCATTTTATGCGGAGCGAGGGAGAAATTCGTCTCCCTTAAAATGGCCGACCCAGCAAAAAACCAACCAATTGTGGCCTTTCCCTACCTACTAGAGGTAGGGAAAGGTAGTGTTAACCAAGAACTGGTTAAAAACCAGTTTTTTCTTTTCAATATTGAGTTTTGATGAAATAGTTTATAAGATTGAATTGAATGGTAGGTAAGTTTATCTTTTTATCGAATGAATTTCTTTTGCTTTTCATCTCTCCTTAAATACTAACGAATCAAATATGTTTACTTTAATTAATATGTTTACTGTCTCTATTTCCATCCATTTTCCTCATGTTCAGAATATCAATTCCTTGTGAAAACTTTTATCTGTAGTTTATTTTGTGAATAATTGTTACAATGTTTTGATCAAGTTATTCAGTTTTTCCTCGAGTTTTATTGCTTTTCACCTTGTTACATAAATAAGGATACCGATTATTCCAACGCAAACTACTCGATACTATTCAGAGTGAAGTCAAGCAGCTAAACTGCTGGGTAGGCACACATAACCCTTGACAAGAGCAAAAAATCATTCTAAAATAATAATAGACACAGACTTCCCTTGATATTTTTTGACAAAAACAAATGAATCAAAATATTTGACGAAATCGTCTGGTGTTTGGAATATTATAAATTAATTTGAACCACAAATAATAACCAAAACAGTTAAATAAATTAGTTTTTCCGCGAGTTTTTTTGTTATTTTCGTGTGGTGCCATCTAGGTTAACTAAGTGGGAAACTATAATATCAATTCTTGCAATTAAAACAATTGGCACACTTTGCTGATTCCCTTAGTAGTCCTATTAACCCTCTCCCCATAAAGGGCGGCTCCATAAGAAACACTCGCTTACTCAAAACTCGAGGAAAAACTGTTCAAAGTCATTTGAATCTATTTATTGTTATTGACTCTTTAGCTAAATTTTGTGAATTTCAAACCCGCCGATGATTCATTTTGTATTTATTTGCCGCTTTTGACATCAAATTGTGTTTTTTCAAAGGTATTCCAACTCAAAATATATTCATTATTTTATTCATGCTGATTTTATTCCAGCAATTAGTTTGATCACTGATTTCCTGTTAATTTACAACTTTTAAAACTACTTTTATGCATGGAAAAGCGTTTGCATTAAATTTTGGTTTTTGATTTGGTTTCATTTTCTTGTTCCACTGACCAAAGATGTTAAATGCTTCTCTAATAGATCATTTTTGATTAATTTGAATACATTATGAAAAATTAATGATCACATTACATTCGATTTTCCGTGAAATCACTAGCTGCTGTGATCACTCAAATTTCATCATTTGAGTAAAAGCCGCTTCCATGATCTTCAAATATTGTATGGATTTGCGCGATTTGTTCAGCCAACTATTCATTTGAGTTATTCATTGATCCAGTAATAACCCTGTATCCAGCAAGAGAAAAGCTTAATTTTTGTTTTTCTGACTCTGTGTTTCAAAGTTTACATGTCAATGTGATTATTAAGTGAAATATTATTCTGAACATTTTTGAATAACTATTTATTTTAAAAATAAGATTCAATACAAAATTAATGACTCGCGAGAACACCAATTTTCATTTTCAGAGAATTGTTCTTTGCTGACTCGAAGTACAGGTCAAGATACAGTTGGATCGAAATCAATCAAAGGCTTAGATTTTGGTACCATTGCTGGCATTGAGAGATAAGGTGAAGTCAAAAAGTGTCTCAATCAGTATATTTCATTGGAAATTGAATATTGAATCCACTTTTCCCAACTTCAACATCAAATGTCAATAATCAAGTCAAAGATGGAAATTGGTCTCAAATTTTCCTTTTCCTTTTCCCTTCTTTTCTTTTCTTGATTAACTCAATTCTTTGTGATGCCATTGTCAATGAAAAAGTTTTTACTAGTTGCATTTTGTTTTTTCATCTTTTAAACACAATATTAATAGAAGAAAACTTGAAATCACTCGTTGGAGCCTAGATATAATATGATACTTTTTCGTTTGAGATTATTCCCTTTTATAATCATAAAACTACCAGTTTTGTTTATTCATTTGTTGAAATAAATTATATCCTTTCTGCATTTCTTCATTTTCTGATGAGTCAATGTTCCAATTTTAAAGCTAGACTTAATTGTATTTGAATTAATTTAGCAAACAATGATGTTCAATGTTTGATGGATTTCAAAATTTGCGTGATTAAATGATGTTTATCATTATGAGTAAATTCCGTTTTTTAAATCCTCTCGTCTTCTAGGCTGTCGTGGAGCTCCCTCAACCTGGCCAAAGAAAGCAACGAAAGAAATAACGCAACAGAGGTAAACTATTTTGATTAAACGCATTTTCACTTAATTATTTATATTTGATAGTCAGTTGAAACAAAAGTTGAAACTTTGTAAGCTTTTAAAATGAACTGATATCTTTTTCAAAATTACAATTTCTTTTCATACTCTTATTCTCATTTTTAAACGATTGCTCAAAACATCATTTCATCATAAAAAACTGTTGAAATTGAGCAAATATACAACATTTTTTTGTTTGCTGAGTTAGTCAAATTCAAATGAGGCTAATAACTTTGATGGAATGATATTATCTGATCAGGTTTTATTTTCTTTTATTGTAATCATAAAAAATTAAAATCTATTTACTATTATGTCTGATCTGATTTGTAAACTCTAAATTGTTAAAATATTTTTCCTTAAAATTTTGCATATCTGTCATATCGCAGATTTGTTACGCTCTTGAAAGGTTGACTCATTTTCAGCTCAGACAGCTTAGTTTAATCCATTGATCAAGAAACGATCTTTGCATGTCACTCACGTGTCAAATGACCGCGAAAACGAGCCCATTATCAGTTGGTTAATACTGAAACAGTTCACCGAAATAAACGAGTTTTATTGAAATATTGGAATGACAAATTAATGTTTAGTAATCAAATGAAATCCACTAATTAAAGTGATGATAATGATATATTCCATATTTTCCAAATAAAACAATAGCCGCATGACTCTTTAATTCTATTTTTACCAAGTAATATGAATGACTTAGACAAACATTAATTAATTTAATCAGGCTTTTTTTATTTCAAGGTTTTACATTTTATTGAATAGAACAAATTAAATTGTTGGACATCAAAGAATAGCAAAGTTTTTCCCCAGAATAAAGTCAAAACATATAGAATCATATGTAGATATCTTTATCCATTTCTTCCGTTTTTTAAATCCTCTCGTCTTCTAGGTGCCCGTGGCGATCCCTCAACCTGGCCAAAGAAAGCAACGAAAGAAATAAAGAAACAGAGGTAAACAATTTCTGTTAAACGCATTTTCACTTGATTTTTTATATTTTATAGTGAGTTGAAAAACAAGTTAAAACTTTTGAGCTTTTAAAATCAACTGATATCTTTTTACAATTAATTACAATTTCTTTTTATACTCTTATTCTCATTATCAATTTAAATGTGAATCTGATTAAATAAAATCATCATTTTATACCAGAGCAAACAATCATCATTCCATCAAAGTTATTAGCCTCATTTGAATTTGACTAACTCAGCAAACAAAAAAATGTTGTATATTTGCTCAATTTCAACAGTTTTTTATGATGAAATGATGTTACTCATTACGATTAAATGGGCATGTGAAACAAATAATTTGATCTTTTGACATTTAAACATTGTTGTTAATGTAACAAAATAGCAAAATTACCTTTAATTCTTGTAACTTAATAAAATAATGATTTCTTGAATCAATTTTCTTGGAACACATAGCGTAAGCGTAGGTCCTATTTCTCTTTTTATCAGTTCATACAAGACTGAATCTATCAAAAAAAATTGTGTACACTCGATATTTTGAAAATCCTCAGGTGATTCTAAAGCACAGATAAACTTATAAAAAATGGGGTCTGAACGTTGTTTGTGAGAAATATTTATATCGATAGTTAGTAAATTTATACTATATTTATCAAGTAGTTCCATGAATTGATCCATTGGTCTGACAGTATTCCTTGATGAATAGTAAGCAATTAAATTGGATTTGCCGGTTCGATAAACAATATCGAATTAATACTATTCGAGTTGACATTTTGGTACTTTTATTGTCTGACCTGTATTTTCTAAAGCTTATAAAACATTCTCAGTTCGTACTAGTAATTCATCGAAGGATTGAGCGAGAAAAACAGTCTGAAAAGAAATTGGATTTTGACCGTAAAATTTATTTTTATTCTCACCAAAGGAAACTAAATTCAACATACAAAATATGACTTATTTATAAGTTCTTAGACAATGTGTCAAATAACAGCAAATTAAGTTGGTGGAAGAATAATTGATTGGTATTATCTGATCAGGTTTTATTTTCTTTTATTGTAATCATAAAAAATTAAAATCTATTTACTATTATGTCTGATCTGATTTGTAAACTCTAAATTGTTAAAATATTTTTCCTTAAAATTTTGCATATCTGTCATATCGCAGATTTGTTACGCTCTTGAAAGGTTGACTCATTTTCAGCTCAGACAGCTTAGTTTAATCCATTGATCAAGAAACGATCTTTGCATGTCACTCACGTGTCAAATGACCGCGAAAACGAGCCCATTATCAGTTGGTTAATACTGAAACAGTTCACCGAAATAAACGAGTTTTATTGAAATATTGGAATGACAAATTAATGTTTAGTAATCAAATGAAATCCACTAATTAAAGTGATGATAATGATATATTCCATATTTTCCAAATAAAACAATAGCCGCATGACTCTTTAATTCTATTTTTACCAAGTAATATGAATGACTTAGACAAACATTAATTAATTTAATCAGGCTTTTTTTATTTCAAGGTTTTACATTTTATTGAATAGAACAAATTAAATTGTTGGACATCAAAGAATAGCAAAGTTTTTCCCCAGAATAAAGTCAAAACATATAGAATCATATGTAGATATCTTTATCCATTTCTTCCGTTTTTTAAATCCTCTCGTCTTCTAGGCTGTCGTGGAGCTCCCTCAACCTGGCCAAAGAAAGCAACGAAAGAAATAAAGAAACAGAGGTAAACAATTTCTGTTAAACGCATTTTCACTTGATTTTTTATATTTTATAGTGAGTTGAAAAACAAGTTAAAACTTTTGAGCTTTTAAAATCAACTGATATCTTTTTACAATTAATTACAATTTCTTTTTATACTCTTATTCTCATTATCAATTTAAATGTGAATCTGATTAAATAAAATCATCATTTTATACCAGAGCAAACAATCATCATTCCATCAAAGTTATTAGCCTCATTTGAATTTGACTAACTCAGCAAACAAAAAAATGTTGTATATTTGCTCAATTTCAACAGTTTTTTATGATGAAATGATGTTACTCATTACGATTAAATGGGCATGTGAAACAAATAATTTGATCTTTTGACATTTAAACATTGTTGTTAATGTAACAAAATAGCAAAATTACCTTTAATTCTTGTAACTTAATAAAATAATGATTTCTTGAATCAATTTTCTTGGAACACATAGCGTAAGCGTAGGTCCTATTTCTCTTTTTATCAGTTCATACAAGACTGAATCTATCAAAAAAAAATTGTGTACACTCGATATTTTGAAAATCCTCAGGTGATTCTAAAGCACAGATAAACTTATAAAAAATGGGGTCTGAACGTTGTTTGTGAGAAATATTTATATCGATAGTTAGTAAATTTATACTATATTTATCAAGTAGTTCCATGAATTGATCCATTGGTCTGACAGTATTCCTTGATGAATAGTAAGCAATTAAATTGGATTTGCCGGTTCGATAAACAATATCGAATTAATACTATTCGAGTTGACATTTTGGTACTTTTATTGTCTGACCTGTATTTTCTAAAGCTTATAAAACATTCTCAGTTCGTACTAGTAATTCATCGAAGGATTGAGCGAGAAAAACAGTCTGAAAAGAAATTGGATTTTGACCGTAAAATTTATTTTTATTCTCACCAAAGGAAACTAAATTCAACATACAAAATATGACTTATTTATAAGTTCTTAGACAATGTGTCAAATAACAGCAAATTAAGTTGGTGGAAGAATAATTGATTGGTATTATCTGATCAGGTTTTATTTTCTTTTATTGTAATCATAAAAAATTAAAATCTATTTACTATTATGTCTGATCTGATTTGTAAACTCTAAATTGTTAAAATATTTTTCCTTAAAATTTTGCATATCTGTCATATCGCAGATTTGTTACGCTCTTGAAAGGTTGACTCATTTTCAGCTCAGACAGCTTAGTTTAATCCATTGATCAAGAAACGATCTTTGCATGTCACTCACGTGTCAAATGACCGCGAAAACGAGCCCATTATCAGTTGGTTAATACTGAAACAGTTCACCGAAATAAACGAGTTTTATTGAAATATTGGAATGACAAATTAATGTTTAGTAATCAAATGAAATCCACTAATTAAAGTGATGATAATGATATATTCCATATTTTCCAAATAAAACAATAGCCGCATGACTCTTTAATTCTATTTTTACCAAGTAATATGAATGACTTAGACAAACATTAATTAATTTAATCAGGCTTTTTTTATTTCAAGGTTTTACATTTTATTGAATAGAACAAATTAAATTGTTGGACATCAAAGAATAGCAAAGTTTTTCCCCAGAATAAAGTCAAAACATATAGAATCATATGTAGATATCTTTATCCATTTCTTCCGTTTTTTAAATCCTCTCGTCTTCTAGGTGCCCGTCGCGATCCCTCAACCTGGCCAAAGAAAGCAACGAAAGAAATAAAGAAACAGAGGTAAACAATTTCTGTTAAACGCATTTTCACTTGATTTTTTATATTTTATAGTGAGTTGAAAAACAAGTTAAAACTTTTGAGCTTTTAAAATCAACTGATATCTTTTTACAATTAATTAAAATTTCTTTTTATACTCTTATTCTCATTATCAATTTAAATGTGAATCTGATTAAATAAAATCATCATTTTATACCAGAGCAAACAATCATCATTCCATCAAAGTTATTAGCCTCATTTGAATTTGACTAACTCAGCAAACAAAAAAATGTTGTATATTTGCTCAATTTCAACAGTTTTTTATGATGAAATGATGTTACTCATTACGATTAAATGGGCATGTGAAACAAATAATTTGATCTTTTGACATTTAAACATTGTTGTTAATGTAACAAAATAGCAAAATTACCTTTAATTCTTGTAACTTAATAAAATAATGATTTCTTGAATCAATTTTCTTGGAACACATAGCGTAAGCGTAGGTCCTATTTCTCTTTTTATCAGTTCATACAAGACTGAATCTATCAAAAAAAATTGTGTACACTCGATATTTTGAAAATCCTCAGGTGATTCTAAAGCACAGATAAACTTATAAAAAATGGGGTCTGAACGTTGTTTGTGAGAAATATTTATATCGATAGTTAGTAAATTTATACTATATTTATCAAGTAGTTCCATGGATTGATCCATTGGTCTGACAGTATTCCTTGATGAATAGTAAGCAATTAAATTGGATTTGCCGGTTCGATAAACAATATCGAATTAATACTATTCGAGTTGACATTTTGGTACTTTTATTGTCTGACCTGTATTTTCTAAAGCTTATAAAACATTCTCAGTTCGTACTAGTAATTCATCGAAGGATTGAGCGAGAAAAACAGTCTGAAAAGAAATTGGATTTTGACCGTAAAATTTATTTTTATTCTCACCAAAGGAAACTAAATTCAACATACAAAATATGACTTATTTATAAGTTCTTAGACAATGTGTCAAATAACAGCAAATTAAGTTGGTGGAAGAATAATTGATTGGTATTATCTGATCAGGTTTTATTTTCTTTTATTGTAATCATAAAAAATTAAAATCTATTTACTATTATGTCTGATCTGATTTGTAAACTCTAAATTGTTAAAATATTTTTCCTTAAAATTTTGCATATCTGTCATATCGCAGATTTGTTACGCTCTTGAAAGGTTGACTCATTTTCAGCTCAGACAGCTTAGTTTAATCCATTGATCAAGAAACGATCTTTGCATGTCACTCACGTGTCAAATGACCGCGAAAACGAGCCCATTATCAGTTGGTTAATACTGAAACAGTTCACCGAAATAAACGAGTTTTATTGAAATATTGGAATGACAAATTAATGTTTAGTAATCAAATGAAATCCACTAATTAAAGTGATGATAATGATATATTCCATATTTTCCAAATAAAACAATAGCCGCATGACTCTTTAATTCTATTTTTACCAAGTAATATGAATGACTTAGACAAACATTAATTAATTTAATCAGGCTTTTTTTATTTCAAGGTTTTACATTTTATTGAATAGAACAAATTAAATTGTTGGACATCAAAGAATAGCAAAGTTTTTCCCCAGAATAAAGTCAAAACATATAGAATCATATGTAGATATCTTTATCCATTTCTTCCGTTTTTTAAATCCTCTCGTCTTCTAGGTGCCCGTGGAGCTCCCTCAACCTGGCCAAAGAAAGCAACGAAAGAAATAAAGAAACAGAGGTAAACAATTTCTGTTAAACGCATTTTCACTTGATTTTTTATATTTTATAGTGAGTTGAAAAACAAGTTAAAACTTTTGAGCTTTTAAAATCAACTGATATCTTTTTACAATTAATTACAATTTCTTTTTATACTCTTATTCTCATTATCAATTTAAATGTGAATCTGATTAAATAAAATCATCATTTTATACCAGAGCAAACAATCATCATTCCATCAAAGTTATTAGCCTCATTTGAATTTGACTAACTCAGCAAACAAAAAAATGTTGTATATTTGCTCAATTTCAACAGTTTTTTATGATGAAATGATGTTACTCATTACGATTAAATGGGCATGTGAAACAAATAATTTGATCTTTTGACATTTAAACATTGTTGTTAATGTAACAAAATAGCAAAATTACCTTTAATTCTTGTAACTTAATAAAATAATGATTTCTTGAATCAATTTTCTTGGAACACATAGCGTAAGCGTAGGTCCTATTTCTCTTTTTATCAGTTCATACAAGACTGAATCTATCAAAAAAAAATTGTGTACACTCGATATTTTGAAAATCCTCAGGTGATTCTAAAGCACAGATAAACTTATAAAAAATGGGGTCTGAACGTTGTTTGTGAGAAATATTTATATCGATAGTTAGTAAATTTATACTATATGTAATATTCAAAAATTAAGTGTTCAAATTGCGAAAAAGAAATGGTCCAAATAATTCTCCTCTTTCTTTATTCTATCTATTCCCCTGTCTTATTTCTCATTCTTAACAATGGTCAGAAGGGCAAAACAAATACTTTGTTTTAACAAAAGGATTATTGAGGGGAGTTGAAATGATGACTCCAATGTGGTAACTTGAAAATGTCTGGAACTAGTGCTTCGTCAATTGGACGTAGTATTTATTTAATTAAATTTATTCATATTCTCAGCAAAGGAAACTAAATTCAACATACAAAATGAAACTAATTTATAAGTTCTTGGACAATGTGTCAAATAACATCAAATTAAGTTGGTGGAAGAATCTGTGATTGGTGCTATCTGATCAGGTTT